GCACAGATGCAGAGCGTCTTCTTCAGTGCAGAACATTCCATTGGAGGAGTCTGTGGAAGGAGCGACGAGAGCTTGTTGTAGATTAGGGTGTAAATGGTAAAAGGGTGACAGTGACCACACAGATAGTTACTGTGACGGGTAATGATCCAGATAACGTTATTTTTATGCATAAGAAAGTAAGTTCAGAAACACTGTAAACTGAGTTTTAAAAGTAGTTCTAGCAGTTGGCTAACCCGACCTCAGGGAGGCAGTGTCAGGACAGTGGGAAGAGCACTGGCCCAGAGGGGGACCCGACTTGGACCCCTGTGTCTCCTTCCTAATCAGCTGGGACACCTTCTGCAAATCGCTCTCTTTCCTCAGATCACTCAATACCCATGAGCTATGACAGTGTTTTCTCCGAGGGTCCCTCCTAATTTAGAATGTTTCCCTTTAATTAGGTCTGTGGATACAATTTTTTAAGTAAAAATGACTTTAAAAAATATATTTTTTATTGATTTCAGAGTGGAAGGGAGAGGGAGAGAGAAATAGAAACTCGTTGATGAGCGAGAGTCACTGATCTGCTGCCTCCTGCACGCCCCACACTGGGGATCGAGCTGCAACCCGGGCATGTGCCCTGACCGGAAATTGAACCGCGACCTCCTGGTTCATAGGTCAACGCTCAACCACTGAGCCATGCCAGTGAAGCAGTAAAAATGACTTTTTAAATCCTTCTCCAAAGTCTATCTAAACTCACATGTCCAGCCCTCTGAGAATTCACTCATTCCCCCAGGATTTTCCCCCAATGTCACTCCTGTGTGCAGGAGCATCCCCTCTTTCTTGAGGCAGAGGGTAGGGGTAGAGCCGCCAGCACTCAGCAGGCACGCTGCCACTTGGCATCACCATCTGGGAGGAAATCTCTCTGCCTTCCAAGGTAGTGGGGAAGGTGAATTCTGCTATGGAATTGGGAACGTGCAAACAATATAATCTGGGCTTAGAAATGTTTCTTTTCGTACGTAGCTAGCCCCTCCCAACCAATGGAACAAAATTTTTGTCAGATCTGTTTCGTGCCACTGAATGTTTCAGCTCTTCTTGGCGATAGGTCACGGTCCATCCAAAGCCGTGTTTTGTGTATTAGCCACAGAGCCCCCCCTTTCTGAGAGAGTGGCATGGCCCGTATGACCCGGGGTGGCCCCTGAACTGCAGTCTCACGCCCACTCTGTCCGGCCAGCCACCCTCTGGGGAAGTTGGCGCTGGCCACCTCCTGCCCATGATCAGCTCTCGGTTGTTTGTGATTTTCTTGCAAAATAAATACTGAGGCTATAATTTCTCATGCTCGTTCTTGCCTCAGAAGTGTATTCTGTTGTTGTTTTTAGAAAGTTCAAAAACGTCTGCTTGGAGGAGCTTGTATCAGTGGGAACACGTGTGTCAGCAGTTAAACTTCTCAGACATGTTTGAGGCTTCGTGTCCAAATAACCCTTTAAAAAGCAAGGACCTAAGCCTCAGGGAGGAATTCATGTCAAGAATTCATTTTCCCTTCTCTCTGCTTTTTGACTCTTATCTTGGTCTCTCCTCTTTTTCTGAGAAATTGCATAGAAAATAAGGATCTACTAGACAGACCTTGCTTTGCTGGGAAAAATGCCAGGCCTTCCTGTTGCAACTTTGAAATTGTACCTTGATCATTTCACAGTGGGGCAGCGTTACACTGCAGAGCGTACTCCAATGAAGCTTACTGGCCTTTTTTGACTCATTAAAGCAAAGTGCTCAGAAATCTGTCACTTTGGAATGACCTTTCTAGACTAAACTCACTCGGTATCCTGGTTCAGGAAGTAACCCCGTTTCCCAGCTGTTAGATAAGAGGCGCCGTGGTTCCAGGGCCCCCTGCCCGGTCCCATATGTGGGTCACAGCCCTGCTCTTGCATGAAGGAAACCTCACGGGGTCCTGCTTTGGGGTCATTAAATGGTACCTGCTCTGAAGCTGGTGTGGGAATTAATGAGTTAACTCCTTCCTGCTCCTCTGGGTACCTGCTTCCTCTCACCTCTACCTCCCCAGCGGCATTCTTTTCTCCTTGCTGCTTTTAAAGGCAGGATGGTGGCGGGCGGCAGCAGTGGGGTCTGTTTCCAGTTTGAACCTTATAAATTACCGAGGGTGCAGAAGTAACAGGGATTGTTGGGCTGGTCCTTGTTAAGCAGGAGGGGGTCAGAGCTGAATTTCCTCAGTAAAACCTTTGTTGGACTTTACAACCCAAACTCCTCCGCAGCCACCCTGTGCTCAGATGCGAGCCAGCCCTCCCGCCCCTGTGTCTGCTGGTCTTCTTTTTTGCCCTTTATTACTTTGCATCCCTGCCTCTCTGCCTCCCAGCTTTTCTTCCTTCCTCCCCTTTTTCCTTCCATTCTTCCTCCCTTCCTTGGGGCAGGGAAGGAACAGGTGTCCCCAAAGTCCTTAAGGGATGGAGGAAACGAGGGCGTCATGAGCAATCACGTTCCCTAAATTCCTACGATGGTAGTCCATGCAGTGTTCTAGATAAATATGTTGTCTCATTTGATGGAAAGGAGGCAATTCAAACAAGTATCTGGAAAATTTAGAGGACACTCAAAGCTTGCTTTTTTGGTATAGAACTTTTCTCTAGAAATAACTTAAAATTCCTTGCTGTTCTACATCACCTATATTCTAACTCCGTTAAGCACCCAGTGGGTGCAGGGTGCTGACAGAAAATGTGTAGAAAGGCCCAACCGGTGTTGCTCAGTGGTTTAATGTTGACCTATGAATCAGCAGGTGACGGTTCAATTTCCAACCAGGGCTCGGTCTCTTGTGTGGGGCGTGCAGGAGGCAGCCAATCAATGATTCTCTCTCATCATTGATGTTTCTCTCTCTCCCTCTTCCTTCCTCTCTAAAATCAATAAAAAAATACATTTTTTTTAAAAAAAGAAAATGTGTGAAAAGGCTACTATTGTGGTTAAGAGCACAGAGCCGGGTTGCATCCCAGGCCTGCATTTATGTGAACTAACCCCTGGAACTCAGTGTCCTCACCTGTAAGATGGGGATAACACTACCCACTTTATAGTGTTTTTATGAAGATTAAAAAAATACCTCCCGCAAGAGAACTAAGCAAGGACCCTGTAGTGAGAGCAGGCCTGCCCCACGCCCCTGCCTCCTCACACCTGTCCCCAGCCACCTCCATCCACATCCTTTGCAGAGGTCTTTAATTTCGCTTTGCTAATAACATGACCCTTTGATTTACTGGATTGTCGCAATAAAAAGAGCAAAAGCTCTCTCAATACCAAGAGGAAAATATTTTATCTTGTCAAGAAAATACTCTTGAAAAGCTTCTTTCAGACTTTTCTTTCAAACCTTTTATAGAAAATGTGCCCTTGTCCTTCCCCAGAGCAAAGGGGGAGTCTCCGATGTGGAAGACACAAGGCAAAGGGAGGGATGAAGAGGCAAAGGGGAAGAACTCCTTCTTGGAAAACATTCAGAGCAAGTGTGGGGCTGGTCCACCATCTGGTCTGGCGATGCTTGCTGGGCAGAGCAATGTGCCCTCTTGCCTCCAGCAGCTGGGGGGAAAGCCCAGGGCAAAGGAGCTTGGGGAAGGGAGAGGTTTAGGCAAACCCCTAGCACAGAGCAGGAGCCCGAAGCCCAGCCTTCATCCCGTGTCCCGTGTCCTGTGTCCCAAGTGATGGCGGTTGAAGAGCTGAGGACCGGCTCCTGCAGCCAACTGCGCAGGCAGCCAGAGCTCCAGACGGGCGCGCACAAGGCATCGCTCAGCTGGGGAGCGCCGCTCCCTCCCCGAGCTTCTGGTGGTGATGGCGAGTTTTTGAAAGAGTCGTTGTTTAGATAAACTGGTCTAGGAGGGTTCTCGTTGTGAGTGTCTGTCACCCTCCTGGAAGTGACTCCTAGTATTCCCACCTGTGCGTGATTCAGGACGCTGCATCCTCTGTCGATGGCCTGCATGTGGCCTTCACTGTTCTCTGAAGCTCACTCCAGGGCCTCCCTGCCCAACCAGGATGTCCACCCACCTTCCTTCTCGGCCTAATGTGCCGTAAGTGCAGCAGTGGAAAGCGTGGAAGCAACGTCGTGGTTCAGGCTGCGACAGAAGTGTGTGTGAGCGTGTACACCCGCCTCTCGGTGATGTTGATGCGTCTTTCAAGGCCTGTAGCTTAAAGGAGGCTCCAAGATATAACACTGTGGCAGCGAGGAGTTCAAGTCCTAGGCAGGCGGTGAGAGGGTGGCTGGGAGCTGAGCGGGACCGTCCTGCGGCTGGAGGTGCAGTGAAGGCTAGAACCCGCAGGGATGCTGTTCTGGGCGGACAGGCAGCCTGGTCCCTCAGTCAGGCTCAGGAGTGCAGATTTTGTGCAAATAAAAAGGCCGGAATTCCAGCACCGGGGGAGAGAAGGTGGGGCCTTGGCCGACGTGTGACTTTTATATGTTGTGGGACTAGAGGTTACAGACAGGCTGAGGCGGGTAGGTTGATTCCAAGAATAAAAAAAAGTTCACAGAGATGCAGGGATAGGGTTGGGGAGAAAGGGAACCTGCCACTTTGGTGAGTCCCTGAGACTTTAGGACTCGGTTGCCAGCACCCTAAACAAGGGCTCCGACGCACAGTAGGGTCGCAGCGCTATCTGCCATGGTCTGTGCTAGTGGCACGTGGCCGCAGACCTCCGGCCTCCTGCAAGCAATGGTACTGGCGTCTGTGCTGGGTGTTCACTGCCCGTGTCCTGGCCCCTGTCCTTGCCGCTGTAGCTGTGCCAAGCAAGGCTGTAGCATTCTTACCATCACACAGCCACCTTTTAGCTCCAGGTGGGGGAAACTTGAAGCATCTTTTGGATGAGAAATAGTGTGAGCGTGTTCTTGGGCCTTCCAGCAGCATAGCAGGCCAGCACTCAGCGTGTCCGGCGTGTCTGATGGAAGCAGAGGGTGCGGGGACCTACCAGGCTCTGGCTTACACGTGGGCATCTCAGGCCTTCTCACCATGGCTCGCTCTCTCTCTCTCTCTCTCTCTCTCTCTCTCTCTCTCTCTCTCCAGAGTGCTGTAGAGGATTGCAGAATCTCTGGGAGTGACTGGTGGCTTATGGGACGTTGGCTTCGGACCCTTTGTCACACACCTGCCGCGTGGGACGATGACGACTCAGAGAGGAAGGAGGCCCGCGGTCACGCTCACCTGCCTCCTCTTGGCCACAGCCAGCTGTTTCGCTGACCCAAGTGAGTCTGCCCTTCCCTTTCTCCGCCTGCCCCTCTCGGGAGAACACTTGCCCCTTAATGTCAGACAGAAGCGTTGCACATTCTACCACAGCCCTTTCAGAAGCCCTTCCTCTCTCAGGATTTTAAAGAGCCCTCGTTCCCCCTGGTTCAGGGACACACTCAGTAACACAAGATGAGAAATGATCCCTGCAACATCACAGGGCTCATAGCTGGGTTTTCTAATCGTTTCCGAGCCATTCCAGGGGAGGAGGAACAGCAATAGTAACTGCCTTGTTCTGAGCACTTAATATTTGAGATTATGGCAGGCAGTTTACATGTTTGTGAGCTTCACGGCAGCCCTGTGGGAAGTATTATTAGCCCCATTTTACAGATAAGAAACTGAGGCCGGAAAGGCCAAAGTCACATGGCTCAGAAGCATGGGACTGGGATTCAGATTTAGGTCTGTCCAACTCCAAACCTACGTGCCCGCCTTTGCACCCACGGCCACTCCCTTCTGCCCTGCGGATTGAGCACCGGCTGGGGAGGGCACCCTGGTCTTCAGAGAAAGATCCGCTCCGCTGGCTGCTCGGTTCTGAAAGGCTGCCTGGTGCTGCGCTTCTCAAAGGTCCTGCTGCTGGAGCCCTGAGAGTGTCACTTCACGGCTGCATCTGTTCTTCTTGCAGACAAGGTGCCTCAGGTCACCGTGCAGCCTCCCTCCACGGTCCAGAAGCTCGGGGGAACTGTGATCCTGGGCTGCGTGGTGGAGCCGCCGGGGATGAGCACCACCTGGCGCCTGAACGGGAGGGAGCTGAACGGTTCCGATGATGCCCTGGGCGTCCTCATCACCCGCGGGACGCTCGTCATCACCGCCCTCAGCAACCGCACCGTGGGACGGTACCAGTGTGTGGCCCGGATGCCTGCGGGGGCCGTGGCCAGCGTGCCAGCCACGGTGACACTAGCCAGTGAGTGCTGCTCCTTTGCTCCCCGGCCGTGGTGCGGTCTCTCCTCCTCTCTCCCAGTCTCTCTGGTCTCTCTGCCCTCACCCCCTCACCATTCATACCCCCTGTCATTAGTCTTACCATAAAGGGGTCTTGATCACTGAAATGTAAAATCGAGTGTGGGAGCAGCCCAGCAGTCCCAGGGACGGGGCGTGTGCCTTGCGAAGCCACTTGGCGAGAAGGGGACATGTGTGTCTGGGCTGAGTGTCTAGAAGGAGAGAACTTGACATGGATGAGCTGTTTCTGTGGCCCCAGAGCTGGGCCAGGCCATACCTTTCCACTTGGTCACTCTGTGGGTTTAGGTGGTTGTGCCAGTTGCTCACTGTCCCCTCCGTCCTCCGAGCTCCATCCTCACTGTGGCTGCCGTCAGAGCACTGACAGGGCTCTGTGTGGGCTGAACAGAGCCTGCCCGCCCCACTCTTGGCCACCTGCCTCTCTCTGAGGGGCACGCACGTTATACAAATGCCTGGAGTGTAAACAGCAGCACACAGTGGAAAGGAAGCTGCACGACAAAGGGCTCAAGAGAAGAGGAAGGAGGAAGAGATCGGGTGATGGTTTGGTCCAGGGAGGCTGCCAGGAGAGGACTTCATGCTACTCTTACATGTAATCACCACTTGGGTCTGCTCTGACCCAGGCACCACACGCACCTTACCCGGTCTGCTACCCACTGCACGCGTGGCAAATGAGACTTGACTGATTAAATAAACGTCCGAGGCTGGAGAGCCCCCACCCCCACCCCTACTCTTATGTGCCAGGTCTGGAGCTGGGCTATATAAAGAACCACCCCCCTTTCCTGGAGCCTGAAGTGTAGGGCATGGGGAAACTCTGAGATTAGTGGGGTTTCGGTTTAAACTGCGATCTTCAGAGCTTGCTCCCCTGTGACTCACTCGGCAGTGACCCTTTCTCCCTGGCAGCCCTGCCTTGGGCTTCCACGTCACCACCGTCGCCGCCCTGCTGGGGGAGATGTCCAGGAGGCCGTGGGTCATGCTGGGGGCCCTGGGCAGTGTGAGCCCTGGGAGGAGAGCGATGAGGGTGGGGAAGCAGAAGAGCAGAGGAGGAAAGACCCTTCTCTCCCTCTGGCTCCCAGATCCCTGAGGGGCTGCCCTCCACGGGAACCGTGGAGCAGCCCTGCCCGTTTCTCAGAAGGGAGGAAGGCAGGGTGGATCCCCATCTCCCTCAGGGCCCAGGCCCACCAGCCTGGGCTGCATCTGGGAGCCACTCCCCAGCCTCCATGAGAGCCACTTTGTGGTGGAAGGAGCACACCGAGCTCTGGGTGATTGGAGGCCGCAGGAGACTTGGGTGAGGACGGGGAGGGTGCGGAGGGCCCATCTCTTCATGAAAGGAAAGGTTGAGGTCAGAGCTCCACCTCCTACCATCATACTCCTCCTTTATATTTTTAATTATAGTTAAATTACATTATAGAAAGTTTGGAATCTATAGAAAACAGTGTTTCTCCTGAGCCCCCATCACACAACCACTATTATCATTTTGGAGCACGCCCTCCCAGCGTTTCTCCAGACCCACGTCTCGCACTGCTGACTACTGAACATGTGGTCTCTACCTTTTCTCCTCTTCCCCTGGACATGGTACGACAAGCATTTTGCATTGGCCATGTGACCGTTTTAACTTTGTCTTTTTTATCGAGTGTTAAATGCACCCGGTAAAGCACACGAAGTGCGCTAATGTTCCGTGACAACCTGGCACGGTTTCCACATGTCCACACCGTGTGCCGTCACTCCAGCAGGTTCCTCGTGCCCCTTCCCAGCTCACCTGCCCCACCCCAACCAGAGCAGGTTCATCGTTCCCCACGGCCCGGGAACATCCACCCAAAGGCACCGAACCCTTTTCCCATCACCAGTCAGGTTGCTCCCAGTTGTCCGTTCTTACACATATGATGTGCTTTTTAGCAGCATTGGTGCCTTTGAAGGGTAATGCTGCTCATCTCGGAGGGAGAGTCCGTCTGCAAATGGTCAGCACATGTCCGTAAAGTGCAAAAACGCCATCACCATTCACTTGGTCTAATTAGGAGCCAGGCTGAGCCTTTCATTGTTTGGAGACGGGGAGAGCTGGAGAGGAGGAGGTTTGCTTTGGAGCCCTCCTTGTACTTCAAGGTGTATCTGTGTGAGGGAAGACAATTTATAGCTTTATTTTAAAAAAAAATTCCTGGCCACTTCTTCTCTAACGCTTAAAGGGATCTGCAATTGGCAGTGAGGACAAAGGGAAGGGTTTGGTTGCAACCCAAGAAGGCAGAGCGAGAGAAGAAGGGGCTTGTGCAGAAGCCAACCGAGTCTTGTTTGAAAGCCAAGAGCTATTGGCTTGTCATTTAGACATGAATCAGAAGTGAAATGTTTGGGCCTGACTAGAAGGACGGAGAGGTTCTGGAAATCGGGAGAACGGGCGTGGAGGGGTTGTGTCATGGAGAACAGGGAGTTGGTGGAGTGGGACTGCAGCCTCCCAATTTGGAGGAGGCAGCGGGAAGGCGGGAGAGGCGGGAAAAAGGGGTGCTGTCTTTGGGTTAATGCCATGGGGCATTTGGCCCAGACTCAGCAGTTAGATTAAGTTTCCGAAAGCACATTCCTGAGCAGAATGGGGGCTGTGTTTTGCTGGTTGGCTGGTGTGCGAGGGAGGCTGAGCAGCAGAAGGGATTACCAAAGGCCTAGTCTGCACTTAGAAGCCAGGCTGGGCAGTGGCGTGCCGGTGTGCACGCACGCACACCCCACACAGTTCGAGACTTCCTTTTCCTCGGGCCTCCTCTGCGCATGTCCAGATGTTCATCCTCTGACAAGGCATTGGCTGTGTGGCCTGCCTGGCAAGACTGCCTCCTGCATCTCAGTGAACTTCTGGAGATCACTGGGAGCTTTTGGTGATCCGGGCTGGGGCCTGGCATGAGGATTCGGGGTACAGAGAGGCCACTAGCAGGACTTCCCTGGTCCAGACCTCTTTGGCCCTGATGCTGCGGGGTGGGGGTTGCACCTGGCCTTCATCCCCACCTGGTGACGTCGGCCTCTGGTCTTCAGGTAAAATCGAACCACCTGAAGAATCTCACCTGAGCACTCCTACCCTCCACCCCAGCTTGCCCTGGCCGTGTGGATACGGCTGCCCTCGCTCTGTGGAAGTGCCTCCCCAATCTCCTCTGTAGGGAATTCTTTCCTTATGGAACCTACATGTGGTTTGTGGTAAATCTCTCTTGCTGCTAATGCCTCACTTCAGACCACCTTATTTAACTCTTGCTTTTTGACATGCATTTGGCTTTGAGATCCTTGATTCCTTTTACCTTTCTTTTCACAAGCTTTACCCCAGGAGCCAAACGCTTGACATGGCTCAAACGTTCCCGCTCTGTGCACCTGAGCCAACAGA